CACTTTCAAAGCTGCTTATCCTTCTGGGTCGCAGGGGGAGCTGGAGCCTATCCCAGCAGTCATTGGGCGGAAGGCAGGAAACATCCTGGACAGGTCGCCAGTCCATCGCAGGGCAGACACACAGATATGTACATTCACACACACTCACACCTTGCAGGCAATTTAGCATGTCACCACTAATATAGATATAATAAAATAGATTTTCCACATTATCTTATTGCCACATTTGAGATCAGTTTGTAAACTAACTTCACAAACTCACTGTTTTCAAGCTAAAAGTTATGAGGTGAAGTAAGTCATAATATGACTAGGCTAGTCATATTATGCCTTTTCGTTTTAAAGACTTTACATTGCCATGTGCCATTCATGCCTTGTCAAATGGATTTGTGGTCCATGTCTTAGCTTAATCTGAAATGCGCATGCCTAATGTTGAAAAGAGAGGCTAGTTAGATGAATTTCATAGTTATTCAGTTCCATAAGCTAAAGACCAGGTGATTATCTGAGTGTTACCTCAAATACTAGCTGCCAAAATGTAACTAAGCTCTGTACTGTATAAACTAAACACTGACACTGCAATTACATTGCTACATATTGCACTTGTGATGCACTTGATGAACACAGTGGTGAATCAATAATGTGACATGAATAAATGGCCGAAAAATTCTGACCTCAAAAATTTACTTTTGTTGGATTACATAAACACTGTGAATTGAAACATCCACAGAAACACTTACCTGGAACTGTGATTGGTCAAGATGCTCACAGCAGGGGGCACATTTGCATATTGCAGCTTCTTTCAAAAGGGAAACATTGCTATAGAAATTAACTAATGATATATTGTGCAGCCCTAAACTCAGCCATTGCCAACATGGCGAAGAAGAAGCAGTGATCAGCTGCTCTCTCCACTCTAACCTTCACCACTATTCCGGCAAGCAATACTGCTCAGATGAGCTCATCTGTCAGGATTGTGGATAGATTCATGGCAGGTAGCAGAAACCAGGCATAATTCATATCTGGCATTTATCCATTTAGCCGCTCATCTGTCCATCTCTGGCCTCAGCGTGAGCTTACAGCACCAGAGATATGAACCCTGTGAGTTATGACTCACACTCCCCAGCACAGGTGTCAGGCTCCAGTGCAATGGAGGACACAGAGCAAAGGCAGAGCCCCCTACAGAAGACTACAACACAATGCTAAAGAGATGCTTATTTAAAGGAATAAGCAACCAAATCTCAATCTGCTTCACTTGTATCATACAGTTGATTACCACAGACTATAATTTCAACACGAAACCTGCTGACTCAAAATACAGGTATAAGAGAAGCCAATGAGTAGATGCTACAGCATCTGCTCACTAGCTTTTATTACACATATGTAGCAAATAAGCACGGACATGAGTGAGGATGCCAACAGCGTGCTCGCCGTCCACCAAGAACACTGATAGCCTATGGGAAAGAATGCTTTCCTTTATAAGTGATAGGAATAAATAACAAGGATTTATGCTTTTGCAGCTCTATAGCACTGGCTGCACAACAAGGCGATACAGAATTGGCTCTGCGATGACTTAATACAAGTGAAAAATTACTACTATAAAAGGCTTGCATAAATGAGAGAGAGAGAGAGAGAGAGAGAGAGAGAGAGAGAGAGAGAGAGAGAGAGATTCATAATGTATATTCTTTGGCATTGCTCAGTACTGATGTCTCCAAGACGGTCTCCATAGACTTTAGCAGAGCTCTGCATCACATTTCAACATTTAACCATTAGCTAGGAGGAGAGTTCTCTTATGGTTCATAAAGCCCATTTACCTTTCTCCATTTCTCTAACAGACAGGCTTTATACAAATTCCAGTACTGTATACTGCATTTAGCTCTATTTGGGTGGGTGGGGGGGTGGGAATGGTACTATGTGAGAGAATTCACATTTGGAAAAAATGAAAAGGGTGACATTAAGGTCATGGTCATACCTACTATATTAGGTGAGGACACCTATAAATAAATAAATTAATTAATTAATTAATAAATAAATACACCTTGAAAGAGTAAAACGCACATATCTTCTAAGCCGCTTATCCTTCTGGGTCGCGGGGGGAGCCGGAGCCTATCCCAGCAGTCAGTGGGTGGAAAGTAAAATGCAATCATCCATTATTTATTCTGACTTTCTGCATTTCAACCCAATCTTACCTATATCATCTTTTACAAGCTCTGTGTGAGCGTTTTATATCATGTATGTTTTGTACATTACTCTGATCACAATATCAGTGCAGGTCCAACATTCTGAAAAGTGCCATGCTTTCTGTATGAATGTTAAAAGCCATAACCTGCCTTCTATAGCACACTTACAATGCTCCAAGCTCTTATAATGGCCTCAATAAAGCAGCTACGTGGCTTAGGTTATCTGATAGCGTTCTGTTCAGTTAAATATTACCTCCGCAGTGGAAGAAAAGGCAGCCCTCTTGAGCCTGTGGTGCTCTAAAGGTTGTACAGTGGGTCTGAACATGCTTCCTATTCACATACACATGATATCAGGCATCTCTTTTCCTACCCACAACGCATCTGCTCCTTCTCAACCCGAATGAACAAATAACTCGCCGGAGCCACGTTACACTGGCCAGGACCAGCCTGACGAGGTTACTTTCAACTCCCTCGCCCCTCACTTCACTCCAGGTGATGCTGGGAGACCAATTGTGATTCTGCTTTTAAACGAAGGTCACTAAATGCAAGCCTACATACACAACCGTCTAAAACAACAGTACAGATTTCACACAATGCTGATCAAACATGAGCGGAAAAAATCACTTCAAGAGTGAATCTTCGCATCGATACTTGACAAGCCTGCAGTTTCTGTGGCGTGGGAGGAAAATGTGTAATCCTTTATAGGTGCTCCAGATATAACACTAAAACCATTTCATTGTCAAGTATCACTAAAGCAACAGTAGATCCTTACGTGTGTTCCAGGAGCAGCCTGCTATCATTAAGCTCTGAGCATTCATTTCACTGTTCTCCGGCACCCACCTACTAGTGAATGATGTCTCTATGAGTCGCCTTTCAGCCTCACACCACAGAATCGCTCTTGCTGCACTTACAGCAGCAAAAAAGCAGTGATGTACGGTTGGTATACCACCGTCTACCTGTACTAGACACGTGATTGACTCTGTGTGTCTGGTAGGTTATATACAGACAAGCAGCAAACACAGCAGGGCATGGACTAATATCTAATATAATCTCTGATTTTGCTATACAGTATTACTCTGTAAATCCTGAGGCTTACTGTAATACCCAATGAGCACACTGTGACTGAAGCAAATAAAAGATAACGCCAGAATTCTATCAAGAAGAGATGGCACAAGACCACTTTTTTCTTTCTGATAACAATATTAAAACCTCGATTAACAAGCCTATATTTCTTCTTTAAAAACTACTACGCTTTAAAGTGAGCTATTATTAATTGAAGCACTTAAGATGCTCAAAACATTGTCCATTTATTAGTTTTTGACATGCCTGTTTTGTGTACATTACATGATGAATGGCCCAAAAGAAATGGCCCAAAATGACATGGAAAAACGTAAGGTGTTTTTTTGTGTCCATCTTGTGTAAAATTACCATTTTGGAAATACGAGGTTTTTCTTCTGACGGAAGGATACAGAAATGAACAGCGCACCTTAAATTGCCTTCTTTTTGCAATCTCTTTTGCTATAAATCTTCATGTTCAAGGTTGCACACTTAAGTCAAGCATAAAAATTAAATGCATCTTCAACAGCAAAAGCTTTAATATAGTTTTCAATATCAATACTTAGGTGATTCAGAGTTTCAATAAATGATTTAGGTGTTAAATGGCTGTTATCTGGCTGTTGTCATCACATCAGCACCCCGTTTACAGGTTCGTCTTTTTTTCCTTTTTTACTCCAGCAGCCTGTTGTACACAGCAGGTCCTCCAACAGGCAAGAAGCGCCTGTAACATGCATTAACACTCCGTACATTAACACAGATTACAGCAGGCCAGCTGAGCGGAGAGGACGCTTTCCCAGTTTACTGATGTGGTGACAGACATTTTAATCAAAAACTGATAACTACACCGCTACGCGCATTTTCAATGATAACTCTCCATCGCTTGCCTCTGTGTGAATAAATTCGCGATCTGCGGAGGCTGAAAGTCATCCAGCATTAAAAGTCCCTCATAAAACCCGCAGGGCTCCCTCACAGCCTGACTGGAAATGTGCCTTAAACAGGTCTAATAGGCTCCAGGTTACTGAGACTGAGCTTGAACACGGCTCTAAAAGGGTGACGAGATGATTAAATGAAGGTCTAGAAATTAATACTAAACCCTTTTAGGCTAAACAGGCTAATTCGCGTCCACGTGCGGGGGCTAACAGGGTCTTTAATCCGTTCAAGTCACAACAACACGGCTTTATTTCTGTCTTATTTGGCTAAATATGTGAAAGTCCCTCTTCACTGATGATCAGCACCGGTACTGTTGCTGAACTGATGGAAAACAAATAGATCAAATGAGTTTAATTGACCTACATTCAGCTTATTCAACGAACAAGCTCGAAGTAAACAAGGTAAACAAGGCTTGTTTTGTTTTTTCCTTCATGTGAGCGCCGCGTGGCTCTACCATAAATCAGGGGTGACTAGCGGTGGCTGTTCTTACTGAAATAATCGATTTCGCTAAGGCTATTTCGCTTCAGTAATTGAAACATTTTTAATTAATTTGTAGTAGTCCCTTAAGCACTGCTGAAACTTGCCCAGCTCCAGCCGTGTACTGTACCGTGCTGTGCCCTGTTTGCGTTCGCAGCTTCTCGCTAATATCGCAGTAAATCACTGAGAAGTCATGCTCCATCCGCCATGCTCACACTAACTGTGTTTACTCCCAAACACGTACAAAAGCCGAAGCCACAGCTCTCAGTTCAGCTAGCTTATTTTCCACCTAAATCAGTGGGCACTAGCCTGCCCACAACAGGGGAGCTTGTACTATCGAGGGCTACTGTAGCCCCCTCTGTGTACCTGTCATCGTAGCAGAAATCGGCGCCCAGCGTGTTCACGTACAGGACCAGAGCCACGGCGCTGCACACCAGATCTGCAATCATCTCTCACAAAGAGATAGAGAGCAAACGGAGGAAAGGAAAACGAAAGAAAGCGGGTGATTTTGAACCCTCTCTCTATTTGCTCTCTCCGTCTTCGTCAGGACGTCTCTTGCCAAAAGCAGAAAAAATCCGAGTCCCCATCCTCGAGCGCAGAGTCCGTCAGTGCCGCGGCCCTTTAACCCATACTGAGCGCGGAGAGAGCGGTCTTGATCCACAGCGAGAGCCGGTGGTAGGGACAGGAGGTGCGGTGAGACAGCCTGCGTTTGCTCGGCCTTCCACCGGGACTGTTTGGCTGCTGCATGGTGGACGCGGAATAAACGGCGAGACGGAGCCGCGTGTGGTCGCTGCGCGCAACGCGCATGCGCCGAACCCCTCCTCCGCCTCAGCTCCCTCAGCCGGGATGAAAGATGAAAAAGGTCACGTGGTGCGGCGGCGAGGATCCCGACCAATCATCAACAGACTGCCTCATTTCCACAACTCAGTCATTCTATTATTTCTAAATGACACGCACGACAAGAGGCGCAGTGACATCAGCACCCAGCCCATACAGGATATTTGTGGGTGTCTGAATTATGATCACATTAAGTTGATAATGTGTGTTTATCTGAAATGAGACTGGAAATAAAACTGGACTTCGTTATAACAAGTGGAATCAGGGGAATGTGATTAAAAATAAACCAGGCTTATTTAGAAGCGCTAAGAAAGATACGTTCTAGAGCAGCACGTTGTTTTTCTGTTTCGTATATTAAATTATATTGTAAGAAGAGGTCTTCTGCTGTATACAGTCGTGTGCAAAAGTTTGGGCACCCCAGCAAATCATGTTTGACCTCTACTTTGACGTTCTCCACAGGGGGCAAATGTAAATATGGCATTTTTCTGGTAATTTTAGTGTGCAATTTCTACATATTTGAAGACTTTAACATATTGGGAACAAAGAAAACATAAAATATGGCCTGTGTAAAAGTTATGGTACATTTTATATTGTATGTTTTATTTTTTCCAATGTGTTAAACTCAAATAATTAGAAATTGTGCATTAAAAATGTATTTACATTTGTTCCCTGTAAATAATGTATTTTCACCTTGAAAATCAACACATATAATTTGACCTGGGATATTTAAACTTTTGCATATGACTATGATAATATCTCTTTTATAGTCTGACCAGAAAAAAAATTATACATTTGTAAGTGTCTCTGAACTCTAACCGACATAGTAACATAATTCGACAGGGCAAATATTTTGTTGTAATACTGTTTTTTATTTGTTTGTTTGCTTTTGCTTTTCTTCCAAGGTACAACACCATTTCCAAAAAAGTTGGGACGCTGTGCAAAAATGTAAATAAAAACAACTTGCTATGATGTGCTAATCATTTTTACCCTATATTTAATTGAAAATAGTACAAAGACAACATATCAAATGTTGAAACTTTTATTGTTTATTGAAAAATATTTCCATTTTGAATTTGATGCCAACAACATGTTCCAAAAAAGTTGGGACGGGGGCAACAAAAGACTGATAAAGTTGTGTAATGCTTATAAAACACCTGGTGGTTAATGGGCAACAGGTCAGTAACATGATTGGGTATAAAAAAAAACGCCAGAGAGGCTGAGACTTTCAGAAGTAAAGATGGGGAGGAGTTCACCACTCTGTGAAAGACTGCACGATTAAATAATGCCACAATTCAAGAATAATGTTTCTCAATGTAAAATAGCAAAGAACTTTTGTTTTTCATCATTTACGGTACATAATAACATTAAAAGATTCAGAGAATCTGGAGAAATCTCTGTATGCAAGGGACAAGGCCAAAAAACAGTATTTGCTGGCCTTGATCTTTGGGCTCTCAGGCGGCAGTGCATTAAAAAATAGACATGATTTTGTAGTGGAAATCACTGCATGGGCTCAGAAACACTTCTGAAAACCACTGTCTGTGAAAACAGTTCATTGCTGCATCCAGAAATGCAAGTCAAAACTCTAAAATGCAAAGAAGAATCCATATATAAACAGGATCCAGAAATGCTACCACCTTCTCCAGGCCTGAGCTCATTTAAAATGGACTGAGGGGAAGTGGAAAAGTCTTCTATGGTCCGACAAAATCAACATTTGAAATTCTTTTTGGAAATCATGGACACTGTGACTGAGTCCGGGTGCTAAACTGACCTGTCTGCAGTCCAGATCTGTCACCACTGAAAACATTTGGTGCATTATGAAATGAAAAATAGGACAAATGAGACCCTGAACTGTTGAGCAGCTGAAATCCTATATCAAACAAGAATAGGAAAGCATTTCACTTTCAAAGCTACAGCAGTTGGTCTCCTCAGTTCCCAAACGCTTACAGAGTGTTGTTAAAAGAAGAGGTGATGAAACACGGTAGTAATCGTGACCCCATCCCAACTCTTTTGTAACGTGTTGTTGGCATCAAATTCAAAATGGGCACACAGCATCACAACTTTTTTGAAAATGTTGTACATAGTCCTAGACTGGGCTTAATAGTAGACAACATGGGTCCAGACTACTAAATTCTGATGCAACAGAGAGCATTTTCAGGTGGTTGTAAACTATCTGACAGTGGGCAGGGGACCATAGCAGAATTCACAAACACACTGCATTGGTTGTTTGGTATGAGTCTCACAAATCAGGTCCTTTTAAATAAAGCAGAGACCAGAACTCTCACCTTGGGTGACAGGAGTGCCATCTGTGGAGAAAACAGAAAGCTAGTTATTCTGCTTGGGTTATGTCTCTGTTGATCAAGTCAAAAGGACAAACAACTTTGTTTATGAAACTGTAGCCTATAAAATAATGCAATTACATGATCTGAAAGGCATAACAATATATTTTTGGGCCAGTTTCCTAGACCCAGATTAAGCCTAAACCTAGACAAAATAGGATTTGTAATGGCAAATCATCTATGACATTGCAGTTTAGTGCAGGACTAGGCTAAATCCATGTCCACAAAACAGGCCCTAAGTGTTTTAAATGTAATTTGCCTAATGCTTCCAATATTCATGTTTGTCTTACAGCAGATGACTAAAGACTTCCAGGCCTTTCATTTGACATCCAAATAGTATTATGTATTTGCAAAGTATTTATTTCAAATGCAAATAAATATTCTAAACTACTACTGTGTTTTTGGAACTTTAGTATTCAGAAACAAACTATTTGGATCAGCCTGGCCCAAACTTTTGTCGAGTAAGCATGATCAGTGTCAGTGTAGAGCTGAATTTGAAAACCTCCAGTAGAGGGCCCACAGAAAAGATCATGGCTTTGTCTCTGCAAGGTTCCAGTTATGTGCCGAGAAAGCACATTTGCTGGCAAGTGAGGGCAGAACATTTTTTAAAGCCCATCACTGCAAAACTTTATAGCATATAACGAGCTGTAACATCTACTATTTCTCTTATACCTTTACTAATGAAGTAAAGTAACCAGCAAATGTTGCCTTTTCTGCTCATGATTCAAGCTCAGCCATAAAAAGTAGAGAAATCAAGAGAGTGTTAGAAGCAAATAAAGAGAGGGAGGAGAGAAAGTGGGGAGGAGAAAGAAAGAAAGCAAAAGAGAGAGAATCAATCTTGGAGTTGCTACAGAGACAAAGAATGCAGTATGGTCCAGTGAATATTGATGCAATTCTATTTCAATAGCAGGGCCCAGTCCAGCGAAGCAGGCCTCAATGTAGCCATTCACAGGGCAGCGGGACACTATGATGTAATCCATTAGAGGAATTAATTAAAGTGATCACAGTAACAGAGCTGTAGTCCCTGTTTCACTGTAAACCATCCATTTGTAGATGCCTCATACAGTGAAACACATTTAAATTGTGTCCTCAAGGCATGAGTGTGCTGTAAGGAAAGTGGTTGTTTATTTTGAGTTGCTAAGTACCATGTGTGGATTGCTGCTCTGCAACTGCATGGCTTAATCTAAAATAATTCCATGTACATAGCCCAAAGGGCAGCCCAAATTCAGATTTTTTACATAAACAACAGTGCTTTTGCCTTAAACTGTCCCTACAAAAAGTTTCTGCTGGTGTATTTGTTTCTTGAAACAGTCTTTCTGGATTGTGCATGTGAATATTTAATATTGAATATAAAAAATAAACAATAGACTGAAAAAATGTCATGCAAGGTTAAATAGAGCGTCTGTTTACAGCTGTACAGTGTTCATTACTGAATGAAATCTGGACTGTTTAGATCCAGAAGTACTCTTTTAGGAAATGAACGGGTTTGTAAAATTATAGAGAAGATACCAAATTTGCATTTACAGTGTGCAAGATTCCATTTGACAGGCCATGCTGTATTTTCTCAAGTAAACATAAAATTAAACAAACATAGGTGTGCAGCAAGTTCATACAATTTTATCATGCATAAAACACATAGTAAATATGCATAGCTTACTACAGCCCACGCAGTATATGACTACATGCTAATTTACAGCCTACATATGATTTCCATAAAAATGATCTAAATGCAAATAAATGCAAATAGGGGATTGTCAAGGTTAAATACCTCTGAAATTTGCTATAGAAACAAGGAATATAGTCAGACATACACCGATCGGGCATAACATTATGACCACCCAAAATCACCCAAATAGTACCTGCTCTGTGAGGGTCCATGGGGGGTCCAGACCACTGAAGAACAGGGTAAAAGGGGGCTAACAATGTATGCAGAGAAACAGATGAACTACAGTCTGTAATTGTAGAAGTACAAAGTGCACCTATATAGTAAGTGGAGCTGATAAAATGGACAATGAGCGTAGAAACAAGGAGGTGGTCATAATGTTATGCCTGATCGTTGTATGTCCATATGCAACTCTGTATTAGTGCTTATACTCACAACGCAAATTATTGTTTTATTATTATAATGATTCTTTTTTTTTACTTTTTTCAAGCAAAAAGTAGGGTTTGCTTGTGTCTATGAATGTAGTAATGTTGTCAGGTATGTGGCCTATACACTACATGGCTTTATGCAATTCTATATTACTATATTTATAATTACAAAGCAAAGTCTTTATTATTTTTCCTCTGTTTCCAAAATAAATGGCCTGTGTACATGCTTATGTAGGCCTCTTAGGGTAGAACAGTAGAATTTGCTTCATGATGATAAATGTAATAATATAGGCTCAGTCAGGCACATGGCCTTTAAAAGTGTTGCCCAAAGCATGGCCCGCAGGCCAATGTCAGCCTCTAAGGACAGTTGATCTAGCTCGCCAGAAAGTTACCCTCACGCAAAGAGAGAACAAAAATATCTTTATACTATATATAATTTATGCAGTTTTGAAATTACATTTATAAGTGATTTAGTACAAATCATAGTATAATGTTATAAAA